CATCAGAGAGACATCCCTTTACTATTCTAACAGGACTCAGGGATTCTAGGTACCATGGTGATAAATACAAGTCACCTTTTACATTCCATAGAAATATATCAATAAAATAGCTGTATAAATTAATTAAAAATTATTTCAAAGGTTTCTGTTTTAATTGAAAATATAGTTGAAACACTATCATCGTGTCCTTGGATTTTGAAGACTTTAATAGCCATTAGTAGCAGGTATGAACATTCTACGGAAAGGCCACATTAAGCAATTGCATCATTTTGTAATGTCTCTACCTTAAAACTAGGAATAAGAAGTTCTCTGTCTCTTATTTTCAAATTGTAAATGTTAATGAATATTTCTCAGGATACGTATTCTTAAACCATACGTAGTAGGAAAGGAAATGAGGAGTGTACAGGCAGGTTTTGTGTGTTGAATTAAGACAAGCTAGAGGCATCAGAGGAACGCCCATCAGCTGAGGAAATGCCTCAATAAGATCCAGCTGTAAGGCATTGTCTCTCTTAGTGATCAATGAGGGAGAGCCCATAGTGGGTAGTACCATCCCTGGACTGTTGGTTCTGAGTTTGAAAAGAAGGTGGACTAAGCAAGTTATGAGAAGTAAGCCAGTAGACAGGAATATTGAAGTGTAAGCCAAATAAACTCTTTCCTCCCCAACTTGTCTTTTGGTCATGGTGTTTTGTCACAGCATCAGATACCTAATTAAGACAAATAGTCACAAAAATGGGGGAATTATTTTATTATTTAAGGAAAATAAATGTTTCATTCATCATTTATTTCATCAGCCCAAACATTGTTTTTTAATCAAAGTATAACTATGTATGAGTGAGTGAGGCCTATTCCACCTTACAATGCAAGGTTAATTTATACAAACAATTTTGGACTTTTAGCATTTTTCTTATCCACATAAAAAACAATATGAGGTCATGGTCAATAAATTAATTATATAATTAATCGATTTCATTCAGTTAGGAGTAAAATATATGTCTATCCTTGAAATATTATTCAAATATATCTGATTTGTAGTTTTAAGTAATGTTTGAGTCATTAATTACATTTTGACAAAATGTAAAAATATAAATTTATCTTCAGCTACATATATTTCCAAAATAATGTGGGATTCCCCCTCTGTATAGTGTGAATGCCATTAATTAATAAAGAATCTGACTTCGGCCAATGGCTTAGCAGAGCAAAGTCAGTTGGGAAATCTGAACAGAGATATAAACAGAGAATAGGCAGAATTAGGTAAAAGCCATGTAGCAATCACAGGAGACAGACACCAGATGCTGGACAGAGCCTTACTGGTAGGCCACAACCATGTGGCAACACACAGATTAATAGAAATGAATCAATTTAAGACATAAGAGCTAGCCAATAAGAAGTGTGGTTAAAAGGCCAAGCAGTGTTTTAATTGTTACAGTTTCTGCATGATTATTTTGGATCTGAGTAGTGGGAATGGGTGAACAGCCTCTATAAACAGAAATGGTGCCCACCATCTAAAGACTCACATAAGACCTCTAGACCCACAAAAATGGGAGCCAAGCACAGTTTCTTGGTAGCCACAGTTTTTTTTCAGATAGGTTCTATTTGCTGTCAGTGAGCAGGGTCACCATTACTCTTTCAAAAGAGGTGCAGTAAAAACTGCTTGGCTTCTTTAAAAAACAGTGGCTTCCTGGTTTGCCATCATAAAATGGCTGACTTTTTTGGGAGCTCCATCTGTGAAGCATTTAAATGGGGTTTGTGAGCAGAGTGCTACAACTCACTTACTGGCAACATAGACCTGCTGTGTGCCTGAAAATGGGGCAATATGAATGGCTTCCAGAGTCAGCCAATATGCCTCTGCCAGTATTGGGTAGACGTACAGAGGCTTGAGAGAGAGAGGAAAAAGAGTACAGAGAATCATAAAAAGAAGTAAACCATTAAAATAAGTCTTTAAAGAGACAGAGTACAGTAAGTCATAGATTAAACGATTAAAGAAAAATAAGCCACATAAAGATGAAATATACACAGAGAGTCTGAATTATGCATATTATTGTGTTTTCTCTAAACTTTTTTGACTGTGAATTAGCTAAGTACAGTGAGACATTTCATTGTACAGGCTGCTGCATTAAACCAACATAGATGTTTTAAATGTATCTTGAGTTCAAAATTTGGGACTAAGGATATGTTGCTTTGGAAAAGAGGTTCTGCTTTTGTTCTACAGAGAACGGGAACCTGTGGATTCCTTCCAGAGTAATGTGGCTTGGTGGACAAGACACCCCAAAATGTATCTCTGACACCTTTGAAAAAGAGAAGAAAAATACTTTGTTTTATTGATACAAATTAAGGTCAATTTTTTATGTATATTTCTGCTTCTGTTTAAGTTGTTGTGTTTGTGTAGCTCATTTTAAAATGTCATGTATAATTAAGAAATACAGGTTAATAGATAGCCATCTATAATAGTTAATCTTGTAGTCATGTTAGGTAGGCCTTCTAGATGTACAGAGACATATTTCTGTTAGATTGATAATCTTCAACACTGACAAAGACCTACAGAATATGGCATATAGAATGTTTTAAATACTTAGGACTTTTCGTGACTACAATACACATCTGTTCTTGGCAGCACAAATCTACTTCAAGAAGATGATGGGCATCGAAAGGCTCCTTATAGAGTTTGTTAACCATTTGGGCAAGAAACTGCTCTTGCCTGGACTGCTTGATGTTATGCTGTATGAACTGGGCATGTAGGAACCATAGAAAAATGACTGCTGAGCTTGCTTAAAGGTAAGACAGTACTTCAGGGTTTCTGCTTCATGAAAGAATTGCCAGACATTTTGCAGGAAACAGAAAAAAGCAACTGATAAACTTTGCCAATACAAGGAATAAGAGATCTTCAAATTTCCTGCTTCATGGAAAAATCTGACAGAAATTATATATATTTCTGAATCCACAGGCTCCCGTTCTCTGTAGAACAAAAGCAGAACCTCTTTTCCAAATATATATATATATATATATATATATATAGAGAGAGAGAGAGAGAGAGAGAGAGAGAGGAGAGAGAGAGAGAGAGGGGAGAGAGAGAGAGAGAGGGGAGAGAGAGAGAGAGAGAGAGAGAGAGAGACTCATTCTGAATGTGAGGGCACCACTCTAACAGCCGGTTTCTGAACTGTGGAAAGGGGGAAATGGGAGAGCAAGCTAAGCTTCACCGATCGTCTTCCTGATTACACATGCAATATAGCCATGTGCCTTGAGCCAGCATGCTTTTCTTGCTATGGTGGGCTTTATTCTTGTTCTGTAAGATCAAATATACATTTCCTTATATTAATTTGTCAGGTATGTCATCACAGTAATGAGAAAAGGAACAACTATAACTCTATTGCTCAAATACTGATGAGCTAATGAGTAAAAATACACTATTTTAGTTCTTGAAACACCACCCCTTTGTATAACAGAAAGGCAGCCCCATGGTTGCTCCAGAAAAGTAGAGAGGATTCACAAGGGATACATAGTGCTCAAGTATGTGGGTGGGGGCATGGGTAGTGTTCTTTATAAAGAATTATATGCATACAGACAAATGTTTGCATTTCCATTTGGAGATACCCTCCTCTTTAGTTACAATTTGGAAATCTTCCTTACCCCTTAATTGTTACGCTAGTGCAAGCTGGGAAGCAACCAAGAACACTTCCTTAGGTCCATAAAGCTTCAATTCTTCACCGCTTTCCAGAGTATTCAATATTTTAATTCAGATCTTTTAAAATCCTTCCAGGGTGGCATACTGAACTCAAACATATACCAGTTTATGAGGTATCCTTTTAAAACAACCACACCATGTAGGGTGACTAAAGATATTCATAGACTTCTCTTAGGGAAGCTGAACTTTCCCCCCATAACTTTTTAAAATGGAAGTATCTGTGGGCTCCTATTAGGGAGGTAGCATTTTTCAGCAAGTGATCATTTGACAGATTATTAAGAATGAGAAGTCAGCTTGTGATCCAAGAGGATTGTGGGAGAGGGTGAGGCCATGCCTGTATTAATGAAGATGGCATCAAAGATAGAGAAACCTCAGCAGCCTGGGAGGTTCAGGGGAGCAGAGTAATAGTTGAGCATACTGTAGTCCCAGGAGAGAGCCCCTGGTGATGGAGGAGTAAGAAGTGAGTACTCTCTCCTTCAGCACCTGGGGAGCCGATGCAAAGATGGTCAGCCTTAGGCACTGCCCACAGGTGCCCTAGGTACTGAAAACTAGGCAGGCCACCATGAGAACTTGACTTAAGACAAAGGCATGGACACCGCTATAGCTCCCTGACACCCCCCATTTCTGTCCCTCGCTTTCCTGGGATTTCCTTTCTGAATTTCCTGTCACCGACCTTTGCATGTGTAATCATGCAGTGTGCCTTACTTTTTGATAGAAGGACCACCTGACTAGGAGCACCTGGGTGGCCACTTCCCTGACTGGGCAAACACTGGACAAACAGGAGAAAAGAGGATACTTGGAGCCAGAGTTTTGTCTGCAACCAGAACTTTTTTCCTGTATCTAATTTGCAGTTGAAAACTCAGTAAAATCTTCTGTAAAACTATTTCAAATGTTGCCACAGTTTCTTTGACAAATTTTGTCATTTTTATAAACATGACACATTTCGGATCTGTCTAATTACAGCCATATACAGTTTAAGGACTCCCATATAGAGCTATTCTCTCAAATCCCCCCTCGCCGCCATTTGTCGTGAAGTCTGCCCTCTCTCTACTCTAAAGGCAGCTATCCTTGCTTCCCAGGAAGCTGGTTTCACAGGCATTCTTGGTCACACTCACCACTGGCTTAACATCTCTTTTTCCTTCCTCACAACGGGGTGGAGGGGGACTTCTACCTCACTTCCACTCTCTCTAATCTCTTCCGTCCACTGCCATTCCCACCCCACCCCCCTATTGGCACAAGAATCACATGGGGGTCACAGAACCACCTCTAGGACATTCTGTTACAGGGTTCATTTGAAAGTTGGTGTGTGCCAGAGACTCACCGGCTCAGGCTCAGCAGCATCCATGGGCACAGCTCTCCCTTTTCCAAGCTCATAGCTCCTCTTGCAGGCCTGCCTGACTCCGAGAGAAATTGGCTTCCCTTAGAAGGAACAGTGTTCTCTCCTCCAATTCACGTTCTCTCTCTCTCTCTCTCTCTCTCTCTCTCTCTCTCTCTCCTCTCTTCTCTGTCTCCTTCCCCTCCCTCCTACCTTCTTCCTCCTCTTTTCTCTCTCTTCTTGCTTATTTGTTCTGTTTCTCTCTCTCTAGTTCTCTTGCCTCCTTGGCTACATCTGCTCACCTAGTCTAAACGGTTCTGTTTACTCAATGTACCCCACCGATTCAAGACTTGCAGTCCAGAATCTCCAGGAACTAGAAGCTTACATTTGAACGCCAATTCCCTTTAGACTGGAGTCACTCACTATTCCCCACCCGCGTGCCTCACCCCACCTTCTCCAGCTCCACTATGAGAGCCTGTGGACTTGATCACTACATACACGCCCACTCGGCAGACATCCACACACCCATGTGGGCGGCTCCAGCCTCAGCAGCAGGTGCGCGGCTGTAGCTCTGGTTCTGGAGCGCTCTCCTGTCTCTTTCCAAGGGCCCATTCTTAGCCTTTTTGAGGAGACCCTTGTCTTTTCAGCCTCATGCATTAATTGGCTGCCTGACTTTTCCCAGCCTCCTTTCCCTCACTACCGTGATCCCCAGCTGGGGCACAATCTGCGAGGTAGTGCTTCAGGCGAGAGAGGGTCGCTCACCCGCTGGAGCTGCACCACGAAGGTACAGCTCGCACCGCGGTGGTCAGCACAGGCGGGTTCAGCAGAGACCTGGGAGTGAGTGTGCGATCCTGGAGCTTTCTGGGCAGAGGTGGAAAGAATTGCTGTACTGTCAGGGGAGGAGGGACTGCCCAACGCTGCAAGATCCAGCGGCCCCTCCCCCGCGTATGGCGCTGCCTCGTTTTTTACTATGATTTCACATTCATCAATTTGCATTTTTACAAATTGGGGTTCTTGCTGCTGTTTTTCCAGCAACTCCTTTTCACTCTGAGTTTGACGAGCGGCGCGCGCATTTGTGTGTATAGGGGTGGGGTGATACGTGTTTACCTTTGGACAGTTTTGAGTATTTTTCTGAGAAAGATACATTTCAAGGGGCTGTGTCTTTGAGGGAGGTGTTCGGTGGTATTCTCGTGAGGGTCTTCTCTAGTGATTAATCGTGAAACTTTTACCGCTTTCCTGTTATCTTCCAGCGCCACTGCCTCGGATCTAAGACCAGAGGCTAAAAGGTGAAGTCTTCACCCTCTAAAAGAGGGGACTAGAAAGGCTCCAGTTAGGTGGACGGGAGACAATCACTTCAAATCTTTAAAAAGTGAAGAACCAAACTCGAAGGGGCATTTTCGCACGATGGTCCCTCCCCCTTCCACGCCTTTCGTCCTCCACTGAGATGCGGTGGGGAATTTGCGAAGCTCCCGTAGACCCTTCTGCCAGAGCTGACTGAGGGAAGGAGTCCAGCCTGGTCCTCACCCCCTCCCCCTCCCCCACGAACCAAGCCGCTGTGATGTCCTTGCTGTCGCCGCCGCCCCATTGCGCCGCGCACCAGCCCTGGGGGCACGGGCCGGGCTCAGCTGCCCAGTCTCACCCAGGCTTTGGGCTTCCTGGAGGGTCATGCAACCCAGAGCTATGACTAAGGTGCTCACTTGGTAACTCTGCCATATTCCTGATCTTCCTCTCCCTCTCTTCCCTCCCCCTTTTAACCACCCCCGTGTTCCCCTCCACCACCCTTGAGCCCTCCCCAGCCCCCAGACGCCCACCCTTAGGTTCCTTTTCCTGCAAGATCGCAGAGGTGGCGCGCAGCCCGCCGAGCCCATGACGGACCCTTGCCTCCTGCCTTCAATGCATCAGCACCAGACCCCCAAAGGCTCGAGAGAGGAGGGCTGCGTCTGGACATCCTCCCGGCGACGCTGCTCGGACCTGGTGCTCCTGGTGGATGAGACTGGCGATTGAGCAAGCCCCTACCACCGCCTTCGCTGTCGCCCGACCAGTTGTTGCCGTCGGTCGGGACCGGTACCCGCTTTGCGCCTTCAGCCACCAGGTCCAGATCGGGTCCTGGCATTGGGCGCCCCGGGGTTCGCCCCGCGCCTGCAGCCGCCCGCGCGCCGACTGCCCGCCGCGTCCTCCTGACAGCTGCGGCGGCGGCGATGATGCAGAGGAGGAGGGTGCTGCCGGCGGCAGTGTTCATGGTGGCGGTCGGCGCCCGGGTGTGATGAGAGCGTCATGGTGGAGATGCTGGCTTCGCGGCGGTGAGAGAGCAAAGGAGGGTGAGAGCCAGCCAAGGGCGGAAGATAGAACAGTTCCGATCGCGATCGCTTTCTTTCCTCTCTCGCTTCCCCTGCACTGTATTTTGCCCGTGGTTTGCATATTTAAAATCTCTGGACTCCATCCTCTCCCTACCAACGAAGTCTCCCCGTTTCTAAATGGAATTAGTGGAGATCGGAGCCTCTGGTGTAACGCACAGACATGATCTATGGACGCAGTTTGTTTCACAGTGAGTACCTTTCCAGCAGTGCCAGTCCGTTCCCGGGGTGCTGTCACCTCGCCTCTTGGCCCCATGCGCCGAGAAAAGCCTTGCCAACCACTCCAACCAGACCCCGCAGTCTCTTGGAGTCTGGGGCAGATGTAAACTTTCGGTACTGCAGCATCATACAACCTGGCGGGGGCGGCGCACGGAGTGGCGCTGGACCTCAGAGTTGGTCAGGGAAAACGTCTCTCCATAGGCAAGATCTCTAGGTGGTCCAAAGGAGCCTGTGCTTTAAAAGTAGACACGTGTAGGAGATGCTGGGCCCCAGAGAGGTAGCAGGTGGACGCTGGGAGGTAGTAGGATTGATCTCTGCTGGGCAAGAACTAATCCTCCTTTGTGGGATTGAGGGGTTCACGGGCCCACCTATTTCTCAGGTAAGCTAATGCACACCTGAACCCAGGGTCTTTGGGTAGAGTACAATCCAACCTCTGCCCCTAAAGCTCTAATTCTGCTTAGGAGTGTGGTAAAGCCTGGCGGTGGTGTGGGGAGGAGTGGAGGCAGACAGGCAGGTTCAGAAGTCATTAAAGGCAATGTCAGAAAATGTGTGGTGGGAATGTGCTGCCATGAAGCAAGGGCTGGTGGGCTGAATCTGTGCCACTGTGTTAAGAGATCTTCTTAATCCATGAGTTCAGCTCCGCACAGGTCCTCTGTGTGAGTCCATCAAAATAGGAAAAGCAGAGTAAAAAGGCCAAATGTACACACGGATACGCCTGGAGCCTCTTTGTGCCTGTGGTGGTGGAGGCAGTTATAGAATTAAAGCAAGTTAGGAACGATGTACACACACACACACACACACACACACACACACACACACACACACACACGGCCAGTCTTTGAGTATATGAGTGACCTGGCCAAAGTATGAAGTAGTGCAGTTGACAATCATTCTGAACTTCATGTCAAGACCCAGATAATCCTTCTGAGGATAAAGATGTGTCTTAGATAAGAAGGGTGAGTGGTGCCCCCAATCCCTCTCCCTAGTTTAGTTTCAGGTGGAAATGTGCAAAGGAAGAGCTTTTATGTAATTGATCAAAATAAATAATAAAAATGAAGCAGAAGAAATGCCAGTTATTACCAAGATCAGATTTAAAAAAAAAAAACTCTTTTCAAGTTTTGGACTTCTCTAGATATTTTTGAGTGAAGGGAGAGGTAAGCAGAACTTCAGATCTTCGCAGCCACGCAAACTTACTGTTCAGTGGCAGACCAGAGTCTCTGACCCTGAACTGACTCCATGGATGCTTCTAGAAATTCCCTTCCTCAAAAATGTCTGCTTCTGCATGATAGTCAGTTTAGAATCACAGTTCAGTTTAGAAATGATGGGTTTTGCAGCTGGAGAAGGTTACAGACAGGGCTAGTTGGTAGTTTGGTTAGTTCCTTTTTTTAATACAAACAAGCAAAAGCTAAACTAACACAAACAAACAAACAAAACCCTTCCCATAGTTCTGTTTTGATGCTTTGACCCATCTGCTAGGATCTGTTTTCTCTTGCACTCCAGCCCCACCTGTCATAGGCTTTGCAGACTTGTTTATGTTCTGCAACCCAAGCTTATTGGCAGCATGCTAGGGTGGATCATGGACATTTGGCTCTTTGCTTTGCCCTTTCTCCTTGTACTTGTGGCCCTCTTCTTGCTTTAATGACAGTGGCAAAGCTTTTAGCAAAGGGTCCTTTACTCCAGAGAGACCTGGAAACATCCTTGCAGTCTGTGTAGCATTTGCAGAGTGTAACATTGTTTACAGCTTTGAAGAGTTTCTGTCTCATCCATTCTAAATAGGAAGTACTTCCATGGCAGTCCCACATTTTACTTGGAACATGCCAGTTTAGATTTCCAAAGTTCTAAGTCACCTTTGTAAAGACTAGCAATGATAACATTTTTCTATCTTGGTATCACCTTCTCTGTAGATTGCCTTCCTGTTTCACAAGGTTTGGTCATTTGGGGTGTGAACTTTACATTTCTAACTGTTCTTTTTTCTGTTTCAGTTATAGCAAGTTTAATCATCCTCCATTCTTCTGGAGCAACCAAGAAAGGAACAGGTGTGCTTTTTATTTTATTAATTATAAAAAGGATGTCTAATTATTTTGAATTTTCCTATTTCACCATATCCATTCCATAATAACTAAACATCCCACAGAGTGTATAATTGACAGGCTTTGACTGAAAGACCATCTCAAAATTAATTTACTAATGGAAATTATGAGAATATCCTCTCGAGTTCTGGTGTTACAAGAGAGTGGATGATGGTTCTTATTTTTAAAAAAAATTGTTTTGTTTTTATAGAAAAACAAATCACTTCGGAAACACAGAAGTCAGTGCAGTGTGGAACTTGGACAAAACATGCAGACGGAGGTGTCTTTACCTCTCCCAATTATCCCAGCAAGTACCCCCCTGACCGAGAGTGTGTCTACATCATAGAAGGTAAGAGCGGAGAGAATGCCAGGCCAAGGAGACCAGCCAAAGCCTGGCCTTCTCCAGGCCCTACGCATGTGATGTGAACAGAGACAGAACAGAACTGGTTCTGGAGATACTAAACACAAGTATCTCTCAGTATACAAATAATTGTAAATCCAGAATCAGGGTAATTTATAAATGATTAAAAATGGGTTATGAACACACAACTATCTGGTAAATGAAACAAGTACACAACCTAAATCTTCTTTTGCAGCAATCTAAAATAACAGAATTATTCAGTATTTGACAGAGTATGTCAATTGATGACATTTTGAAAACTAATATTCTGATGGTTTAATAATTATAATAATCAATATGTTAGTGGTTTGTTCAATTTTAACAACAGAGAACAATGTGAATGGAAAAAAAGTTTATCTGCGATCGTGTTTTCTAAACATTAATGCGAGTGGGATTTAGGCTTTTGTGTACTTCCAAGTGAGTTGATCATATTTTCAGGCCAGCCAAAGTTCTAACTTACGGAGCTCTCATCTGTTTTTTCCAACCTGAAGGACACAAAGTACTTTAAAAAATATTCACTCATCTGAATATTTTCCATTTCTTTTAACCTTGAGACACCTCTCAATTAAATATAGAGGAAGCTTTTAAAATATGTGAATATGTCTCCTAGTGATGAAGGCTACATCTTAAGCCTTAGTTCCAGATAACCCCAAACTTGCTACCCTCCACATCCTGTACACCTGCGGACTAAGCTGTGGTAACAGAAAATTGTGACTACATAATGTCTCCTCATACACCAGAGTAGTGATCACAGAGTTGATCTTCAAAAAACAAAATAAAACAAAACAAAGCAAAACAGCAGCAACATGAACAAAATCTCTGGCTTCTGTTTCTCTGATTTTGAGAGGCCCTGTTCAGAAATGATTTATTATTCTTATTTTCATCCATAAGTCAGGAATCTTCCTCCTCCTCTTGCATTGCTTAAAGTAATTATTTTTATCAAAGATAACGCAAACTGAATAAAGTTTTATGTTTAAGGAATAAAACAAACCAACGCAAACAGATGTCTGCTAGTTTAGATCTCTAGACGATGAAAACACTGAGTTTCTTATTTGAAATCAGCTGCTACTTTTATTAAGTTTGTATTTTATGTTTATTAATTAGGTGTGTTAAAATAATACATGATGAACTTTTAAATAACTTCCTACATACCAGAACATTTACTCATAGGAAGGTATCTTCATTTTGCTAACTAGTAAATGGAGACACATAGAAACCAAGCTCCCTGCTGAAACAAATGTCCTTGTATTGGAAAGAACAAAACATGACATGTATGTAGCCCGTGAGTTGTGCTTCTTTGTGTTTTCCTCTGGGACCTTTACGAGGACTGCTTGCCTTGAATGTGATAGCTTTCATATAGCCTCATTTATTTTTGTATTTATATCAGGGACAAAATAA